GTTCCATCCAGACTAACAGAGTAAAGCAGTCAGAGCAGGGCATGTGCACCTCCAGCTCTCCACCAACCGGCTGTTCAAATTTGGCGAGTCACCAAAGCATTCCATGGCCAGCCCTCGGCCACGGGTCCATGGCGGGGTGGGGTGGATGCTAGCATCTCCTTTTGGGGGTTGCTTTAAGACAATTCTGGTCAGATACTGGGAGGGGTGCAGCACAGAGCAGGTGCTCAGCAGAGGTTTGCTGATCTTGAGATTCTATAGCATTGAGTCTGTGTCACCAGAGAAGCCGCTGATGGGCGAGGCCTTATTATTTGTGATCTGCCTGGTAAAGAGCTAGCACACATTTTTAAACCTAACATCTTACATTTTTAGTAACCAGCTTAGGACAGTAGAGACCATTGCTTTCCTGTCCTGTTCTATACTCAGACACGGCACACAGCTGGACACGCGTCTGCTCCTACGGCCTGGCAGGGGGCGTTATGACTCAGCCCGGACGGGGTCTCATTTCATCCATTCGCTAGCAGCTGTGTGACTTGGGGCGAGTCACACCTTCTCTGTGCCTCATCCTCACCTGTGAGATGAAGACTGGAATAATCACTTCCTTCTAGGCTGGTGTGAGATTGAGTAAACCGATGTGTCGGTCTTGAAACGTCCTGGGTACGTGGTAAATACTTAGAGAGGTTATCGTCAGTTATCGGTTATCATCAGTGCTTGCTTGTGCTTGGGGTGGGGGGGCGGTGGCTGAGGAGCCGGCACAGGGGCTCTTAGGGCAGTGCTCTAGGACTCTAATGGTAGATGCACCGTATCAGGCAACTGTCCAAACCCACAGAAAAGCAGAGACATTCCTTTGCCAACAAAGGTCCGTCTAGCTAAAGCTATGGATTTTCCAGTAGTCATATCTGGATGTGAGAGTTGGACTATAAAGAAAGTTGAGCATGGAAGAATTGATGCTTTTGAACTGTGGTGTTGGAGAAGGCTCTTGAGAGTCCCTTGGACAGCAAGGAGATCCAACCAGTCCATCCTAAAGGAGATCAGTCCTGAATGTTCACTGGAAGGACTGATGCTGAAGCTGAAACTCCAATACTTTGGCCACCTGATGCTGTGAAGAGCTGGCTCATTTTAAAGGACCCTCATGCTGGGAAGGATTGGGGGCAGGAGGAGAAGGGGACCAGAGGATGAGATAGTTGGATGGCATCACCGACTCAATGGACATGAGTTTGAGCAACCTCTGTGAGATGGTGATGAATGCCAGGGAAGCCTGGCGTGCTGCAGGCCATGGGGTCGCAAAGAGTTGGGCATGACTGAACTGAACTGAACTGAATAGAAGACACACACAGAGTAACTGTATTGTAAGCTGTGGACTGTAGTGAATAATAATGGATAAATACTGGATCGTTGGAAGCTGGGGAGCTGGGATAAGAGAGCATAGGGGAACTCTGTAGTTTCTGCTCAGCTAGTCTGTAAGTAAAGCCTAAAAGAGCGCCAAGAAAGCAAATCCATTCACGGAAGACAATCAGTAATCCAGGCATTAGGATGTGGCATCGTTTGACCTGGGGATGCTCCTGGCCTCACATGGCGGTCACTCGCTTTCTTTCCTTTTTTTTTTTCCCACCAGACACACTTTTATTTATTCTTTTACAGGAATTCCTCACATGGTGGTCACTCTATTTCCTTTTTTTTTTTCCTTTTTACCAGATATGCTTTTATTTATTTTTTTTTACAGAGAATTCCTAGTTAGAAACTTATTATTCTTTTTGATTGGAGGTAATTGCTCCATTACATTGTGCTTCCTCTCTGACTCCGCCCCTCCTCGTCCTTCTTGGTTCCCACGAGATGCACACCACGGCCCAGCTGTCCGCTCTTTCGAGTCCCTGACCTGGCTGGATATTGGACAGGCAAGGAGCCGCAGCACGTGTAGTCTGTGCTGGGGGAGCTGGAGACGCTCCTGGGCTCCTCCGGCCCCTCCCGGCTGTCCCCTCGAGGCGGCGGCCTGTCCTCAGCGGCCACCCCTCGGTGGGGAGGATATCCGGCATGCCCGCTTATCTGCCCTGGGGCTGGTGCCGGGGGGTCTGCCTCCCCACTCAGATCTGCTGCCTGAGTCATCGGGGCCAAGGCCACATCAGGAAGACTCACTGCAGCCAAGAGGGAAAGGAACGTGCAGCAAGGAAAACAGGCCTCTCTGAGGTGTCGCCTCGTCTGCAGTGATTTCACTTAGGCAGGGATTAATATCAGGCTGCACTTGTCCCCCTTCCTTCTGTGATTTCTCTCCAGCAAAGCTACACAGCCTGTCAGCTCTCACTGAGAACTTTTCCTAGCTTATTTTGTTTACATCTTTCCCATCTTTGCCCGATATGTACAATCATAGGTTCTCAAAACCCAGGAAAGTATGTCTGTGCCTCAAATAGTGGAAAATAAACAACGAGGGGCGGTGGGGGAACATGCAGCAAGGAAAACAGGCCTCTCTGAGGTGTCGCCTCGTCTGCAGTGATTTCACTTAGGCAGGGATTAATATCAGGCTGCACTTGTCCCCCTTCCTTCTGTGATTTCTCTCCAGCAAAGCTACACAGCCTGTCAGCTCTCACTGAGAACTTTTCCTAGCTTATTTTGTTTACATCTTTCCCATCTTTGCCCGATATGTACAATCATAGGTTCTCAAAACCCAGGAAAGTATGTCTGTGCCTCAAATAGTGGAAAATAAACAACGGGGGGCGGTGGGGGGACATTCTTGCACCTCCAAGTGTTGGAGTGAGTTTTGATGTCCTGTTGCATCTGTTTTGTTACTAGACATCAGCTCCAACAGTCGTATGTGTGTGTATGTATGTTGTGATATCTGGAATTCTCGGCCCAAGTTGGAACTTCCTCTCTCAAAGTCATCTTGTTACAGAACTCTTCCCAGAAGCTGCTAGAGCAGATATGACGTTCAAATCTATGTCGACCTAAGAAACTGAAAATCCTTCACGTGAGCAAGAGATGGTGGTGACCCCTTTTCCCACCCATGATCAACTCACCTTCTTTGGAGACTCTTGGGAAGTTTCTTGATGGGCTTTAGCAAACTGCACATTTTGGGGGGCAAATGATCAAATTAATACAAACAGAATCATATTATGCTTTTGCCACAATTAAAGGGGAAGCAAATTTAGAAGCCAGTCTGTGGCCTTCAAGGGCTGCATGTCCCTACCTGCTCAAGTTAAGTGCTCAGAGATACTGTGAAAATTGGATCCACAGCGTGAGGATTCTGCAGCACTGATAATGCCAACATGACAAGTTGTCACTTTGCCGTATGTTCCTTAGCATGACTAAACGTTAATAGCCAGGTTATCCTGGTGACTCTAGAATACTCAGGGCAACAGCACAGGAATGAGTGGCAGTTACTGTAATTACTCTAGAAAGAGGACCAAAGCAAACAGAAATTCTCTCTAATTTTATATATTCCCAATAGATGCACATGCTGCATCATTATCACTATAGAAACCACTTAGTAGTTAGCCAAAAATCAGGGCCGTGTCACATGCCTGTGGGTCAATGTGCACATAGCCCTGGAGGCAGCCCTGTGACCCTTGTGAGAGCTCAAAGGATGCTGGGCATTGATAGGAGGCGTTACAGATCAACAGATGCCCCAAACTAAACATAACTCACTCCATCTATTTTGCATTGATTTTGAAGCTTCATATCCAGCTGCCACTTCTGGACATTAGTGGACATCAGCATTATGTGTAGTGGTCGTGGGAGG